CTGCAGAACTTGCCCAGCTTGTTGACTACTCCTGTTTAACATGCATCTACTCAACAGCAGATTATAATTGAGATTCTTTGAATCAGGGAAGCACATATATAATATATGTCTTGTGGGGTACTTTTGCTACATTTAACCGTTTCTCTACTTAGGTCCATGACTATTATTTAACCTGTGACCATATGTGCCAAAAGGTAACCAATTGTCCTCCTGTCCCTATAGCTGTTGCGAGAACAGAGCAGCAGAGGCTAAATGACTAGTTTTTTCCAATGTGCTACCAAAGCTAGTTCTCCATTCCAGAAGGCAAATTATCTCATCCATGTAGATAATCTACCATCACATCAAATTAATTCCATAATAGTAGGGTAGAATTCAGCTCTAAATTAATATAACTAAATTTAGGAGTCCAGATGCAGGTGAACAGATGTTACCTAGGTGTCTAAGTTTCCATTACAGTTATTGCAGCCTAAAAGAGATATTTAGGTACAAGCCAAAGGTGCTGAATTTAGCTGCTTTGACTTAGATATGCCTCAATATCATCTAAGATGCTCCATGGTATCAGAAATGCTCATACACAGTTGACAGAACTGACACAAGACCTTTGAGAGATCAGCATTCTTCAGGAGCAGCAGCTGGAGACCACAATATTCTCAAGCATCTCAGGTGACACTACATGTCTATGAACAAGGAACTGAATAAAGTTTTAGGTGCTTACTTTAGGGTGAGCTGAATGACTCTGGGACCCGTAGACAACATTTATTGATTATAATGGAAGCTTAGACATTAGACTCAAATGTAATCTACGCACAGGCAGCTTCACAGCCTCAGGATGGTAAATCAGATGGAAAGAATTGTGTTCCAAGGAGCACTTGTGGAAGAAAATGCTTTTATTTCTATCTACATTTATGCAAAGATGACTGATGTATTTTTCGTTGTAAATATCCTACATTTCCCTGCTCTTCCTATGGAGAGAGTGAATTAATCAGGAATGTAAAATACCAAATGTGCGTTCAACTAAGGGATTACATGGTAATTTCTAGAATAGTTACCTTATCTATATCTTCACGAGCAAGAGTCTGGGAAAAGCTGTGACAGGAAATTCAAGAAGCAACTAAAATTTTCACTGGTGGAAGAAGTCAAATTAAGTGTGACTTAGTGGCAGAAAACTTACAATACAAAAAAAAAAAACAAACCCAAACGTGGGGGAGAACAGCACGTTCAGTGCTCATGGAGAAAAGGAATTAATTTTACGTGAACTAGGTTCTTCATGTAACCGCTGCTGCCTGTAGTATTTCTACAGCAGCTGATTCTAATGACTATTACATGGAAGCAGTAATTCATTCCAGGGTTACAAATCACCTCTTCCATCTGGCAGTTGTTACCTGACCAAGTTTGATGTACCTGGCACAGATAGATGAGGGCACAATTTGACCATAGACACCTCAGTCGTTCTATTGTAACTAAGACCCAGAAAGCACTATGACTTAACAGAAACTCCGGGGGAAAATAAAGTATTTTTTGTGTTGCCTCTGTGAAACACAGCTTTTCTCCAGGGATTTTTGATTCCCTTTTGCCTTTGTATATGTAAAATTTACAAAGTATATTACATAAGTAAAATGCAAATAATACAAGACCATTTAATACAGCACGAAGTCATAAGCAAAGCTGTGAAATTGCTGCTGTTCAATGGCACCGGATGGTAGATGTTACCAAGAACTATGTCCAGCGTCCACTCTGGACTTGAATTCGAGCATGGAGACTGGCAACCTTCGAAGAAAGTGACTGTACTTCTGTTCACAGTTCAGTTTCTTGTGTCAGACTTGGGCCAATCACTCTGTAAAATGGGAGAGAGAGATACTGTACCAAACATCCCTCTCACAAGTAGGGATCTAACCAGAATTCAGAAGCAGTGATGGCACTGAGAGATGACAATAGCAGAGAGACTTTTCAGGGACTGACTTTGGTGTTTTGCACATCGGTTACCATGTAGCCAGCCGAGAGCAGCCACTTACAGCTCTCTCTCAGCATGCCAGACAGATGTAATACAGAAACTGAAAACAGCGAGCGTCTTAAATGAAAATCAACGACCATTAACTCGTTAAGTCAGATTAAGTCTGCACAGAATTGTCAGAATAAATTGTGTGTGGAGGAGTATCAAAGACATAATTAAGGTATTTGTAAAAAGGGCAGGAGGAATCGCTGCTCACCAGGACACAAGCCTTTTTCCTCCTTTTACCCAGGTCCTTCTGAACAAGGGTTGCTAGATAAAGCAAAGTGAGTGTGTAAAAGGAGTCAAGATGTAGGCTAAGAAGAAATATTATGGTAAGAAATGTGCGTTGGACTTAAACTAGTGTAGTTTTTTGCATGCCAATTAGCATCACTCATTCTCCTGATCTGACTCTTTCCAAAGCATTTGCCAACCCCAACCCTGTTCATTCCATAACTTATGGCAACACCATTTTTGTTGTAATGCTTCCAAAAATGCTCGTTAGAACATATTTGCTCATAAAATAGCTGAGCTTATACATTGTATGCAGTCGTAACTCTGTCCCCTACTAGGGGCAAAAGAGAACTTCAGTTTTAAAACAGACACTGACGTTGACTTTGCTTTAGATAGAGGACAAGAGTGTCTAGGGAAAATTTTGGCCACTATACAAACAAATACAGTATGCTCCAGCAAAACGTCAATTAGAAGCATCGTTGTGCTAAATGAAGATGCTCAATTTTAACTCTAGAAACTGTACCCAACTCTCTCTATGAACCTATGGAGACTTTAAACCTACTTTGTTGCTTGCTGTCCGTATTTGAAGTGACAAGGTCAACCCTGATCTGACTCCTCATGTTCCTTGTATTTTCAGTGAACAGTTATACACTGCTAATAAATTTTTCCTAAGTACCTTTTCCTCTTTTCTCACAAAAGACAACCAATCCATATTATTTACACAATTTCTCTCTTCAGATATTCTCTTAATTCTACACTGATGAATTGCTGTTTCAAATTTCTGTTAGAACCAGGAACAGCAGTCATTCCATATTGCTGATATTAACATTCTTGATTTCATTTTGTAGGGATTCAAGTGACTCAGCATCACATTCCTCATGATTAGGAAACGTTTTGCCATTTCAGTTTATGACATATCAATAAAATTTTATCTTTCCCTTAATGTGCCCTTCTGAGATAAGCTCGCCATAAAACACATTCATGTGCTGCTGATTTAGCCATAGTTCTCTTGCTGATTTTTTCCATTGCTTAAGACACTTATCATTAATGTAAAGTCCATCAACTCTCACTCCCACCTCAGCTAAGAATCCGACTGAAAAGCAAAGACTGGAATCAATTTCTAATTTAGGAAGAAAACTGCTTGGGAAGAAAATTACTTAAGAGAGAAAAAAACTAATCAACGGCAAGAGTGTTGCAATTACTGCGTGAAATTAAGAAATGTACAAATGCAAGAAGTGCAGACAATAGCTTATTTAAGATGGTCAGATGTTCTAGCTCAAAAGTATTGGAGTTGTTCCTCCTAAATTTTTGTATCAGTTTAATGAAAGGCAATGCAGACATACGACTACATTTGCC